CGGCTGTGTGCTTCTGCGCAATGTCCTGATGCATCAGTGTCGTGAGTGGTCGAAAAAGCAAGATGGCTGATTCCATGTTATTTCCTGGACGCACTTTTGGTCTGGGTATAGGCTGCTGGTCCGCGCGGACTGTTTCGAAGCAGATGTCAAACTACAGCTCCTTCCCTCATGTGGCGCATAAAGTTGTGACCCTGCCTCTTACACTCGCACAGGCACAGACATGCCTGTAGTTTTGTCAGTGGTGAAGCTAAAACACTCAGACATATTAACAACAACGTCACATCACAATGTTTGCATGTGGTAATGTTTTTTCAAAAATTTCTATGAGCTCCCTGAATCAACAAAGCAGCCACAGAATGTAACCAGCTACCAGCAAAAGGGGCGCGGGAAAACCATGAATATAAATTCATCCGGTGTGCCTGCTAGGGGGCATGACGCTACCCACCTGGAGCAGTGCGGAAAGAAGCAGCTCCTTTTTTGTCAGGCGCTGTGGCAGGGCAGTGCCTGGGTCTGAGATGTCTGCAGTCGTGCTGTCCGCCATGTCGACGCATAATGTGCCACATGAAAACCTATATGGTGCAACTTGCAATCAAATAGTGGAAACTGGCTGAGGACAGCTTTTGAGACCTGACAGAGGAAGATTTGGGTGCGCAACGCTATGATGCCAGAGCTTTGCTTCAGCAACAAACGCAACAACCACTAAGATATTAACATCAGAACCAACAATTGGATCAAGTATAAATGAACGCATGATGCTTGACTGTTTTTTCACCGCAGCAAAGCTCTTCATGGGCTGGGCGCAGTCAGTTCGACCGCTTTGCCTTGTGGCACAACGATTGGTCTGCAGCTGGCGATGAGGGGCCGGATGGGCATGAGGCCTCTTTGGGTCCATTTCACGGACCAGACCAGCTTGGTGCAAGAGGTTGCCCAACGCGCCGTGTCCAAGCAGCCGGCCATGGATGTCAAAGGCAGCTGGTAGGCGCCGTCCGTGGTCTTTTTCTCTTCTGAAGTTGGTGCGTTCTCAGGACGGAATAGCACCAGGTTTTTTGCGGTCATCTTGAAATTGGTCGCCTCTCCAGGGAGCGGCTGGTCCACCAAATCGTAGTAGCAAACATTGACGCTCAATGGGGTCAATGCCCGTTTTTGCGCTACGATTTTCCCCATTGTTGTTAGCTTTCCTTCGAAAAGAACCTCACTGCTGGAATCTTCCAAGATGTATTGGCAATCTGTCTCGCGGACTTCCAACTCTTCTTCGGCCTTCTTGCCTTTTCCCCCTTTCATATGGAAGCTTCCTTTGTAGTAGCCTGCAATAGTGGTGCCACCAGCAATGTTGACATCGGCTGCACCTTCATTGGAGAGGAAAACCCGCTTCCCAACCACGATCACAAGCTTCACGACATTCCCTTTCCCTTTGGTACTTTGCGATGGAAGGGTTGCTTGCCAACACAAAGGCTTTGGCAGGTCCTGCAAGTCAATGGGCTGCAAAGCTGCATCATCCATTTTGATTGCTTTGGTAGGTGGTTCCTGTGGACCACCGCCAAGGCTGGAGGATGTCCCTGCTGCAGAGGTTGCCCCGCGTTTTTTGTTGGCTTTCTCCTTGTCGCCCTCTTTGCAGTCCAGGGGAACAGACTCCCGTGTCGCTTTCAACCATTCTTGAAATCGGCGTCCAAAAAGGCTGTGGTCATGCCATGTTTGCAGCAGCTTGTCGGGAGTCCGCAGCGTCTGGAGCCCATCCACTTTCTTCTCGGACCAAACCAGCGTGGTCAGCTCTGGTTTTGGTGGAAGGCTTGTAGCCAGCTCTGCTGGTAGCTCCTTCGACATCAACGCAGGAGCGCCAACTGGGAGTGCAAGGCTTCCATCCAAAAACCCTTCGGACAGCCAGGAATTCATGTGATGGGTTTGCCACTCCTTTTCCCCTTCTGTTTCGGACAGGCCAAGGTAGTAGAGAGGAATGGTGCACGACTTGGAAGCGCGTTCGATGTACACAGCCTTTGCAAATTCCATAGTGTGAGCTGTGGCATCCAAAACCAGAATTGCTGCCCTGTGGGGAAGTTCTCGCGGCAGAACTGCTTGCAGCAATTTGCGTGCAGCGTCTAAACCGATTTGTTGATGTTTTTCAGCTTGGCTGACATGTGTTGAGTTGTCGCTCGAACTGGGTAAGGCCTCCTCATGCATGTCCTCGATCACGTGCATCTCATTTGAACTGAGCATATCCACATCGGTGACGACTGCACACTGGAAGACACTTGCGCCACGGAAAAGCTGCCAAACCTCTTTCCCTTTTTGCTCATCTGAGCCACCTGGAAAGAGCACCACCCCTGGCTGCATCAGCGCTCGCCGCTCTCGGTCGTCCCGTTTACCAGAGTAGGCGAGCGCCATGCGGGAGTCCGTATTGAGACAAGCGTTGCCGAGTAGGGTCATGCAAGCCTGTTCTGCTTTAAACAACGACCCCTTTTTATAAAAGTGAGTCGGTGTTAAAGCAATGCCAAGATGCGTTCCTGGGCCATTGATGATGCCTCCCAGTAAGTTTGCCTGAGCTTTCTGGCTAGCTCCTGCGTAGGTGCTCGGGGATGACCAGTTGGCGATGCAAATCACATGGATCTGTTCCGGACTTTGCAGTTGGTTATGTTTCATGATTCGTTGCACCATGCTTTGAACGGATTGCAAGTTGGTGGTGTCCCTTTTGTCAATGGTAGACAGCTGCAGTTGCCAGGACGGGCCACTTTGGAAAAGCGCTGTCGCCATATCTTTTGCCTGCCCATGCCTCTTGCCGGTGTGCTGCAGCTGCTGAAAGTAAAGGGCCGAATCTCTGTCTTGGCACTTGGTCCTCCAAGACATGAACGAGCAAATGTCATGATCCAACGATGACATTGCTAACTCGAACGCTTGTTCTTCCAATTGGCCAGGTGCAATTTTTGGACCGTGGCCAAGCAGAGTGAGCTTTTCATCGCGCTTGCTCAGGCAAGTAGCGATGAGCTCTTTGAAGCATGACAGCTCGGCAACCTGGAAACTTGCTTTTGCTTCGCTCACCAGAGCTTGGACTTCCAATTCCATTGTCACGTTCCCGTCAAGGAATGGTGCAATGACTTGGGTTTCGATGGCTTCCATGGTGATAGGATGCTGCGCGGTCGCCTCCTCAATGCAGCTTGTGATGCATTGGCTCAAGTTCAAGGCTTCCTCCAACATTTCTTTATCCCACCTTTTCCTCATGCCTGCGGGCTTCCTCATATGTGACTCGTGAACATACCGCACAAAGAGGCGCCAGCCCTCATGTGTGACAGTTAGCCGTTTGGCCCAAGATTTTTCCAAACCGCGGGGCACATAACCAGGGGATAGGCGTTTGTTGGCAAATGTCTCATTGGCAAACGCCGTCCCCTCCGGTCCGAAGTGCGAGGAGTGGTCCAGCAGTAGTTGGATGGATGAATCCGGCAGGTCCAAGAGTTGTAACAGGGCGGTCCGCTTGCTACCAAGTAGGCTTGACTCCTTGGTCGCTGAGTCATTCCACCGCTTGATAACTTCAGGAGGCGAAAGACCTTTCTGTTTCAACAAACTCAGTTTGCTGAGCCACGTTGTGGTATCATGAGCTTTTCGGATATCCCCACGCGCGCTGAGCTTTGCATTTTCTAAAGCGATCGACGCTGCGTCAGTGGCTGCAATGCCCCTCCTGGCACACACGGTTTGGAGACTGGCTTGTAGCTCTGGATGCAATGAGGCAACATCTGCTTGCAGGTGGTAAATCAGCACATGCGCGAGAAACAAGATGCTCGTAGCACGGGCTGCTCCTTTCAGGTAATGGGCGAAAAACAGTGGCCCTCGACCATCATCCACCTCATACCATGTGGTGTGGCTTTGAAAGAGCAAAATGGGGTCTCCTTCTGTCACAAATGAGCCACACAAATACTCGTCAATCAACCTCCGAGCGGTGATTTTGAATGTGGCGGGCTTGGAAGAGCAATCCTTGACCCAACCCAGCTGGTAGAGGGAGAGATTGAACACTTCTGTGTTGTCGTTTGGCAGCACTAAGGAATTGTGATAGGACAGGTCAGGACGTCTTGGAAAGTGACTGTCAAGATCTCTGGCAAACATGTCCCAACTTTCACCTGGCTCAGTGCCCAACACCTTGGTGAGGTACTGCACCGGGCCACCATGATCCTCCAGCAGCGCCTCCGTGACGTGGAGAACAGTCTCTCGAAAATTCTCTGGCTGTAAGCTTGGCTTCTTATTCAGCAGCCAGTGGCGCAGGGATGGAGTGACAGTATTGTCTGACTCGTCCCCAGCGGCAGCTTTCACTTGCTGCTCAGAATCAGATGTCTGTGGCTGCTCACCAACCTCTTCTTTTACAAACTTTTTCATCTCCTCTTCCCATTTATCTTGTTCGCATTCTGCCTTCTCCTCCATGGCGGTGCCACACCCTACATGGAGCTGACTGGTCCTTTTCACACATGACCACGACCGAAAATACTGTGGATAGTCTCCTGGGACCCGGGGCTTTGTGCCCCATACCTAGTCTCAGATTCAGTCAATTATGGGAAACTAGAAGCACCATTCACCACCGTGAAAAGGGTTGAGCCACTTTTGGCTGAAGTGTCCAACGCAAAATGAAAACAATACAAAGAACCAAAACTTGACTATGTAGGGGTACGAGAATCCTGCCCCCCCACATCGTCAAGTTACAAACGTTACTTGACCATCTCCATACCAGGGAAGGCAAACTTGACCATGTAGGGGTACGGGAATCCTGCCCCCCTACATCGTCAAGTCTGTATAACTGTCAAGAAGGGATCGTCAAGTTACAAACGTTACTTGACCATGTCAGGGTACGAGAATCTTGCCCCCCTACATCGTCAAGTTTTGGACAATCTGTCATCGCGGTTGCAGCCGCACTTTCTTTTCCTTTTCTGCTGACAGCAGCACAGTGGCTTCAAGGGCCAGGAGGCCATAAAACGACTAATTAATAATAGACAAATTACGGAAACGGGTGCGCTGGAGGCGTATCGTTGTCATGCGCGCCGCTGTTCCGCTTCCATGCGGACTGCTCTTTGTAGCAAATCCACAAACTCAGGTGTGTACTTCTGGCACCACTTTGACAGCAGAATACCGCCTTCAGACCCTTCGATCGTGGCATGCGGCTCAGAGCAGGTGCATTGCAAAGGCGCAAAAAGCTGTACAATGGCTGATGAGTTCGTCATCAGCGTTGTACGCTTCTTGATTAATTTGTTGCTGACCGGCGTGCGTAGGTTCACCTGGCATTGGTCAAAGCTGACGGTCTGCACGCCAGGTCGGTTTTGAACATCCACCACACAGCGCCTCTTCCATGAGGTAGCTCTGTGGGGATGCTCATGGGCAAAAAATCGTTCTTCGCGGATCTGGTGGGTCGCTACATTCATTGAATATGCCAAGTGGCATTCGGCTTCCGAAAAGCGCTTGGCTTTGATTTCTGGGCTCATCTTGCCGAAGTTGGCATTCATCATCGTGCTGAACATGGTGCAAGGAGCGCTGAGCATGGTGAAGAACGGGCGGTAACGAATAAGCAACTTCCAGGCACGGGCGCGACCGCCGAAATCGGTGAAGTCGTAGCCTGTGTCCAAGTCAAATGAATAGAATGCCCGGAACCCTTCACGCCGCAGGGGGATGCAAACACGCGGTGGTGAGTAGAATTCCATGAACAAATGCTGGGCGACCTCCTCTTCGTCGACGATGATGCACTCATCCTGGCCAATGACCAACCTGGCAGCTGCAGCAGGGAAAGTTTTATACAAAGAAGCACTGAGTAAGATGAAGTTAAATCTATGAGGGCGCCTCGCTCTTTTCGGAATCGTAGCGGACAAGATGACGCAATCTTCATCTTCCCCTTCCTGGCCCCGAAGCATGTCTGCAGGTGGGGCCGACTTCTGCTTGAGCCTCTGCTAAAGAAAGTGCGCAACCTTACACAATGAGCTTTGAAACATGATCGTTATTTTGCTGTTACCCACGCATTGCGGACCCGGTTTTCCAACTCGCAGCGCCGAAGTCACTGGGGTCATCTTTCTGCCTGGTCCTGCCACTCCCACGCGGTCATGTCGCCGTTGAGCACCAAGCCTGCCTTGGACCTGCAATTTCGACACCCCACGCTACTGTGCCGACATCTGCTGCAGCCCAGAACAGATGCAGCGTCTGGTGGCATTGGCAGGAGACCGAGGTTGCGCCTGCCAGGTGCGCCAGACTTAGCTTTAGCTTTGGCCTTAACCTGGACCTTCGCTTTGGCCTTGGGCTTCGCAGCCGCAGCAGCAGACTTTGCTTTTGCTTTCGGTTTAGCTGCGCTTTTTGCCTTTGCCTTCGCCTTTGATTTTGCGCTTGGCGTGGACGGCAGTGGCAAC